CAGATTCTAACAGAACTATTTTTATCACCGTAATTAAATTTAAATTACATCACAATATCTAGTAAATTTCTATATTTATTAAATTTATTATATAAATTATTGTTTTTGTTTCTAAATAATATATATATTTTTTAATGATTCATTTATAATTTGCAGTTTTATGATTAAACATCGTTTATAAAATTTACTAATAAAAAAAAAAACATAATAAAATAATTCAATGATTAATAGTTAAGATTTAGGGGAGACCGGGGCAACTTCGGCATGCGGGGCAAGTTTGTCAAGCGCTTTTTTTTAAAAACAAGTTAAAAGGAGACTTTGGTTATAGGTTAGACAGTTGAGTTTTATTGGTGGCTTGTTGAGTGTAGTGTTTTTATTGTTCTCCAACAAGCGTAGTTGAATTATCAAGCAAATTTTCATTTTCGTTCAATTCCATATAATATTTTTTTTCCATTTATATTGAATTGGCAGGTTTTGTTATAATTCCATGATAACGAAAGTTACTTTTCCTGTTAGAAGGATGTAACTTCAACTTATTCACGTGGCCAGATCGTGGCTTGGCATTCTGTTCTCAGGGTTGTACTTAATGTTTCGAAATCATGACTAGCGGGGTAAGATCGGCAACATAAAGCCACATTAGAAGCAAAGGATAAAAATCAAACAGATGATAAATGAAAACATGTTTGCATTTGTTATTCATGTATATATGTCTTTGAACTTGCATTTCGTTGTAATAATATTAAATGGGTGTTGGATTTGTATTTCTTTGTTTTAATAGTGAATTCCAACTTATACATTGTTAATAACATAATTTTATATACGTGCCTATCTTGCCCCATTACTGTTGCCCCTATACCAGGGGCAACTTTAATAAAAATAATTAAAATAATTACAACTTTACAAAAAGAGAGAAGTTGCCGATCTTGCCCCTATACCCGGGGCAACTTCGTCAATTTCTCTCTTCTTGTAAAGTTGTAATTATTTTAATTATTTTTATTTCCAAACTGATTTTAACCAGTTCTATAGTAAGGTAACATTCCAATAGACAATATGCAAAGCTTTTTTTTCAGTTTACAGCAGTATTTATTACACAAAATTTAAGTAAATCTTAACATGCCGATCTTGCCCCGGTCTCCCCCTACATTTTACATGTCGTTTAGTAAAGAATTATTAAACGACATTCAAATAATTATTATTAATAAATTTTAATTAACTTAATCGGTTAATTAAACAATTAATAATGTTCAACTAACCAATCAAATAAGTTAATTAAAAGTACCATTAGAAAAACAAATTATATCGATAGATAGATACTAAAGGCCGAAAATTTAGGTTGTTTTTTTTTTTTTTTTACTTTATCCACAGATAAACATTAAATTTCTACTCTGGAACTTTATTTAGTCAATTAAAAAATTAATTAACGGGTCACTATGAACATAAAAAATACAAATAATGTAAATATATGTAACTTATTTAGTTTCTTAGAATAGAAAATAATTCAGATGTGTCTTTATCTTCGTATTTTTTTTATAATAAATGAATTTACTTTATGTCCTATTATCTAAAACAATAAACAATATTAAACAATCTTATTTAAAAAAAAAAAATGTTAATTGACAGTATATTATTTTTTATTATTCAATTATTCTGTTTGAATAATGCTTTAAAATAGTTCTGTTAGCGTTATTGCATTTTCTTTTTATATTAACTCTACAAATATTTTTAGAACTTGAGTTAAAAAGGGGGAAAAAAAACAATTTTGTTATAACAGTTACAGCTTTATCATTTAAATTATTGTTTCGACGTGAATATAACGAATAGAATTTAGTTGATATTACGTATTACACTTGGCAATACAAAATTATCCTGTTTATCCTTTATAATTAAAGTTAATTTAAGTTTAATGTAAAAAAGAAATATGTTAAACTATAATAAATATGTTTAAAAATTTGTAAGAAAATAATCAGTGCGTGTTATCTTATTTTATTATGAAAAACATTATTTTCATTTACTAATAATATAATTTATAAAAAAAAAAAAAAANCAAGAATTTTTTATACAGTTTATTAGATTTTTTTCTAAATTTTTATTAAATATATATAGATATTTTTAAAAAGATTAATAGTTTTATGTCAATATTATATCCACTTTATCTTCCAAAAGTTTTATAAAACTCTTAAAAATTCATTTATTCTAAGAATGATCACTTATTAAATAATTATTTCGTAATTATTCTTGGAATGATGTGATGTTGTCTACTCATTTACTAAATTTAATTTCAAACATGTTCAGAAAAATGTATTGTGAAAGCTGGTTTAATACGGATAACCGAATGAGATAATTTGATGGTATGACTGGGAAATTCACCAAAACAACATAATAGGAGAATTTATTTATTAAATTTTAATAGAATTTTAATTTAAAATCCGGTTAAATTGAATGCAGTATGAGAAAATGTTTCCTTCGTCGCTTTGTATCATATCAAATTACGTTGATAATTTAGGTTGAGTTTTAAGTGATTGAATTTCATCCGCAATCTTTAATTTTTTTTTTTAAATAGTTACAATTACTTTAATTTTAAGAATTGTGTTAATTTTTAAAATTTACTTATAGTAATTGCTTGTGAAATTAATTAATTTTCATTTATTTCTTTATTTGAATTACAGGTGATGTCTCGAGGACGATGTTTTCCGCCCTTCAATACGACAAACAATCAATAAAATCCATTAAAATATACACTAAAACACTAAATAACATCTGTAAAAATAACATACATTATCTTAATAACATATATTTACATAAAAATATAAATTTATTTTTAAAAATAAGCTGGATATTTTAAAATATATATACTTTTTAATTTCAGAAAAATATATTATTCCACCATAATTTCAGCACAAATTCAGTATGATTCCATCATGAATTATGTTGGATTTTTTTAAAATAAATAAATTATATATCATTATTGCTGGTTAAGTTCAGAAAAATTCAAGATGAAAATCTATATATTTTATGAATAACGAAACATAATATAGCGAAATTATTCAAAATGCATTAAAATATTATCATTTAAGAATGTAGTAAATATTATTTTAAAAATTTTATACAATATTAATTTAAAATTGATCAAATTAAGCAACGTTTACGATCAATTTGTAGGACATTAATTAGTTTACATCATATTGACAAATTTGAGTTGAGTTTAGCGAATGGTTTAGAAATTATCTATGAAGTAAATATTACATTTTATTAAAGAATTTTATCTATTTTACTTTCAAAAATTTTATAAACTTATGAAAATATATTCTATACATTTAAGAAGTAGTAACTTAGTTTATAGTATACATCACAGATTATGCTTAGTATTATTTTTTTTTAATAATCAAATTATAATCAGGTAAGAAGATCGATAATACAGTATAGGCCTATACATTACTTTAAATCTCAAATATAAACTTATCATTGATATATCTTAGGAAAATCATGTATGACCATCAAACGACTTCCTCCATTAAATGCATCGTTGTTTATTGAAATCAAATAGAATATTTTTAAAAAATATACTGTTTAATATCAAATAATTTATAAAATATATAAACAATTTAAAATTAATAACTATTTATCTAATTAGTTAAAAAATATATTAGAAAATTTACATTTGTCATTCTTATCGATCCAGTAAAAACACTGCATTGTTAAATTTTATCATCGGATTATATTATTATTAATGAATTTTTCTTTAAAAAAATATAATATTTTCTTATTAAATTGTTCAAATTTACAAATGATAATGTTTTATCTTTTGACATTATCATAAACTTAATTTTAGACAAATATATAGTGAAATGTGCCAGTTTTTTTATCTTATTAATTATAATAACTTCTTGTTTGACAAATAAATGTATTAATTTATATCAAATATTTTATAAAATATAATATATTACATTAAATAAAATATATAAACGTGTAAAAGTAGAAGGAGAATGCACACTTAAATCGGGTTACCACGTTAAGCCATTTTTGGGGGATTTAGTGGATAGATCAGAACGTTACAAACAAAAAAACAGACGTCTTTTCTAAACTAATCAAATCATGTTTAGAACATGGAAAAAAATATTTGTTTCAGTCAAAATCACAATATTGATTTTTCTATAAAAAAGGTATTTTCTCGCATATTAGATTTACCCATTAATTATGCACCAAAGAAAAGCGTAACAAAGACTTTGTATAAGCGATATACGTAAACAGTAAAAGTGCAAACTGTCATAGACCTTGATAAAAAAAAAAATATTTATAGATTCCATAAAGTTTAAATTTTCGTTAAGTAAATTGTATCGAACATTTTTATTTTAATTTTCTTGATAGAAATGAAACAAATGTTTTTAAAAGTGAGTAAAATTTCATCTATCATTTAATATTAAATTACATATTTATTTGTCAGCAATGCCATTTATTCAACAAGTAAAATTTCTAATTAAACAATTTGTAAACATACAAAATACTTACTAATCATTGAGTTCACCAAAAAAAAAAAATATTTATATAGCCTAATCATTCAATGATTAGATGAATATTAGATGAACATTAACAAATAGGAAACAAGTACTTATATACTGTACCTGAAAGTGAAAGTAAAAATATTGTATAGTCATCCTATTTCTGTTAAGTTGTTATTTTTAGTTAACTTTTTCTAGTGAAATTCTTAATGTAAATTCTTTTNCGATCTATGTCGGTAAATAAAAACTTATGCTTATTTTTACATTAGTTCCCTAAAGCTCTCGTATTATATACCATATATCTTTCAATAAATTGCAATTCTTCATATCTTATATACTTTTAATAAAAATTTATAAGATAGATTTTGTGTAATTAAGTAAAATTGAATGTCACATTGACATTTCTGTGCGAAAATTAACTTACTTTCTTAATGTATATAAAATAAAATATTTATTGTATCTATACATTAGAACCGACTAAAATTTATATTTTATATTGTTTAGATGGAAACAAAAAATACCTTTATGTAAAGAGAAAATAGAAGAAACTTGGTTGTACCATGAAATAGGTAGAGCCTACATTGAACTTGGACAATATGTACAAGCTATTGAATTCGGTAAAAAAGCCATGGGATGTGCTGGACAGTGCTATAATTCAGACTGGAAATTGAATTGCACAGCATTAGTGGCACAAGCTTATAGTAATTATATTTCTTAATATATTTATTAATTTTAATAGTTTATTCGGTATTTATTTATTAAACTTATATTTACAGTTTACGCAAAAAATATCGAAGAAGGAATTAAATATTTTAAAATAGCTTTATCGTATGCTAAACTTTCATCAAATTATGAAAACGTAAAAGCAATTACCGAAATGCTTTACAAATTGAAATTATACAATAATAAAATTACGGATTCTCAACAATTAGAATCATCGAAATTTTTAGAATCTTTTGAATTTCAACCGGAAGAAAATTGGAAAGAAGAATCTTGGGCATCCGACGTTAATGCATTGCATAATCAAGAGAAAAAACAAACTGATGTTACTGAAGATTCAATATCAGAAATTACCGAAGACAGTGAAAGAAAAAAAGAAATGACAAGTTCAATTGAATGTAAAGATTCAAATAAATTTTTACAATCGGACGATAACGTTGATCCACAAGAAATAAAATATTCCACACCCATCAAAGATGCTCCTGAAGTTCTTCACAATTCTTCTGAAATGCAATCGAAATTTCAAAATAATTCGTTCTTTCAGTCAGAATCTTCAAAGGAACAAGAGGAGATGGCTGAGCTTTCGGATGATGAAAAGAATAAAATAAAAAGCGATAATTCTAGGACATTCAAAGGATAAGATTTCTTCAGAAAACAAGATATAATATTTTCAAAATTTCAGTATTAATTTTGTTTAATAAAGTTATACAAATGTTATTAAATTTTAGTCAAGTTAATAGAATAAATTATCTGTTATAAGAGTGATTAAAATGTTTTCTTTAATTCATTAAAAATTGTCAGTTATATATATCATTATTATTATGTAATAAAAAAATTATGTGTATATTTTTTTAGTGTAATATATTCTATGACAGTCAACGGAAATTAAATATTCAATAACAATATAAAATAACTTTTATGATTAATAGCAATCATTTTAACGATTTAGTGAGAGGCAATAATGACAGCCAAACATCGTTCCTTTCTACTAATTACCTGAATAATACTTGATGTAAAAGTAATACGCAATTTCTTCAGTATAATGACCTTCTTCACTTACTTAATGTTTATTTTCTGTATTAACTATTGGACTATCGTTATACCGGTTAGAACGAAATGTATTTATAAAAAAAAAAAAAAAACTCAGCCTCATAAAAACGTACCAGTCGACTATAATCTATACAGCGAGAGATTTTAAAGGTAGATAAAACGTCAACTTCCTGTCTGTAGATAGTTGAAGCCTTAAGGCATTTAAGGTTTCGAAGATGAGGTTCTAATTTTAATTAGCTTCGCTGTTGATACGCAAAATATAATTGTTGATGTGTGAAAAATCAAATGCTTGGCTTCGTTAGATGTATACAGTATATCGATGATGTCCACTGTAATAACAATAACTGGCTTCTTGATAGCAATTTCCTGTACTCATCAGTACTTTATATAATGATTATAGTAATTCTATTTATGTTTTTTTTTGCATATAAACTATTTAAAAAAATTAATTACAATAATTTTATTAAAATCGTTTAACTGATATTTTTGCATACAATTTTATTTTATTTTTTAATCGTATTTTAAAAATCTTTCTATTTAATTATAAAGCATCGTTGAATAAAGTGTATGCCTGCTTAATATTAAATCTCAAACCTGTTTATAGCGTGATTTGCATCACAATTGATTTAAACGGTTATAGCAAATAAAACAACGATAAATAAATAAAAATACTTTCGTATCATCTTTTATAACCAAGCACTAATATTAATTTATCATAAAATAAAAATATAATCTATAAAGAATATTATGTAACATTATATTAAAATGTATCACGCCTATCATTTGTATATAATATAATAAATTATACAATATATTAAATAGAACAATACAAAATTATATATTGTATTAATTAATAAATTATACTCACGTTTATAACCGTTTTTTAAGGTTTTATTTATAAAAATTTATAACCGATCAGGAAGTAAACGGCTGTACATTTTTTTCTTTTAATACTTCATCTAATGAGGCTGCTAATTATAACTATGTTGAACTAAATTATCAATAACGATTACCTCTTATAAACTTAACGAACATTAATTTATTTTCTTAACGAAAATATCTCGTCGTGTTATTTATCCTCTACATATAAATATCTATATCTAAAATAGATGAAAGTTATGATAATGAATGTGGAAAATAACTTCTTGTTTAAACAAAGTGGTTATTTGAAAAGTAGGACAATTTTTATTCTTAAGATAATAAATAATCGTATAATTATCCCGAACTCGTTTATTTTAAAGACGTATCGAATCACCACAATACATTTTTCAAAACTGTTTCCTGCAGTTTAGTTATCCCCGAAAGTGTAAGAAGTAGCGTGAAATGACAAACACCGATGCAAGACTGTGAGAAAAGAGTCTTTCACAAGAAAGAAATGGGACCGGGTACTCTTAGTTCTTTTATTTCCTCTCTCCACTATAACACAGAGAAAACGTACGGATATAAACATGTTTACCTTCTCCTCTATTAAATTGCTCCATCGTAAAAATGATTTATTTAATTAATTTTTATCTATATCGTCCTATACTATTTATACCTATAATAATTGTGGCTTTATATTAATACATCAATACTAAATTAATATTATTTATAGTGTAATCAATTAATCTCAGAAATATAGATTGTTTATAAAACATTAAGGGAGTTTGAAAGTTTAACCTCCATTTTGGAAGAATTAACTAATTAATAAAACAATATATTGTATAGTCTATAACAGTAGACCCCCCCCTATAACACTGTAGATAATTCCGTGTTATATGAATTCCATGTTGTACGAGTCACTTAAATTTTACAAATATGTATGCCGGGCTGTAAACGGCTCACGTATTTGTAAAATCTAAGTTACTCGTACAACATGGAATTCATATAACACGGAATTATCTACAATGTTATAGGGGGTTCTACCCATTCAGTTCCTCCTTAATCTACTGTATTACGTTACTCTATATATATATATATTGTAAAAATTAAAAAAATATATTATGAAAAAATAATGTGTTTTTTTTTTTTAAACTCAACCTTTTAAAAATCCTGCTCATGAGCCTATGATTTAATACACTTTTTATCTTTTATTTTATTTTATTTTTTCATAATAAAGATTAGATGACAAAATGATCTCTGTAGTTATATTATGAATATGAGTCATTTATTAATAATTGATGCGTTATTCGAGTGAAAGGATCTTAAAAAAACAATTTTTTATAATTATATTTTAAGACGATTAGCAATTAAGATTTATTTGAGTCGAATATTTAACAGTAATTTGGATAAATCTCTGGACAGGTCGCCATTTTTTTTTCGTTAATGAAATATCGATTCAAATCTCAATCATTATATTCATTAACAAGATAATGGTCTATTTAAAAAGAGTTTTTTTTTTTTTTTTTTTTTAAAATTCCAGATTAATAAGAAAACATATAAATTAAATAAAAAGACATATTAAAATGTATTAAAAATATTGATTTTATCATAAATTCACTTTATCTTGATAGATTAGCGTTACAGTTCGAATGTATTATAGGTTATCAACACATCACTATTGGTTAACTTATTTAAATATAAATATACACATATAGATAAGAGTTTATATCATTAATATTCTATAAAATTTATTAAATATCGTATTAATACATTTAGAAAACAGATACGACATACATAATTACAGTAGAATCCCCCTATAACACTGTAGATAATTTCGTGTTATATGAATTCCATGTTGTACGAGTCACTTAAATTTTACAAATACGTATGCCGGGCTGTGAACGGTTCACGTATTTGTAAAATCTAAGTGACTCGTATAACATGGAATTCATATAACACGGAATTATCTGGGGGTCTAATGTAGTAATATATAATTTGTATGAAATTGGATTTAAAAATTGTGTACAATCAAACCTCGATATAGCGCCAATTTCAGTGGCGCTAAATCGAAGTTTAACGTAAGGAAGAAGTAAAAAGTCGCGATACTTTTTTTAAACAAATAAAAATAGTTCCGAATTTTATTTCAATTGAAATGTTATCTTTTACAAATAAAAATTAATTGAGCATGAAAACGTATTTAAAACCAAATAAATAGAGGATTTAAAATATTAAAAATTAATAAAATTCATTATTTACGAAAGGAGAAATTATTTTAATTATACTAAAAATATTCGTTTAATAGTATTAAAGTAAAATTGTTTAATTATATTCTTAGTTTTAAATTAAAATTCTTTGCATAACAAATCGTTTTTTTTTTAATTATTAAAGAATCTCATTAAAACTAATTATCGAGCAAATTATCGGCAGAAATAATTGCTTCGAGATCGAAACAGTCGAAACACTAAAAGTTAAGCGTCGATATTAATCCGCTTCAATGAGAATCACGTGACAACACGAGAAGCGTGGTATCTATCCTTATTTCTATTGGATAAAAATAATATTACATAAATCGTTGTAAACTTGTAAAATATAAAAGAAAATTACTTAATAAATGTTAAAATGTATTAAAAAATCAAAATATAATCCGTAACATCTTATTTAATTAGTTTTAAGAAGTTTTAAAAAACGACCAATGAGAGAAGAGAAGACGCTCAACTGGTGTCCAGTCAACAGTTGTTTGGCAAGAGTGACAGTCGAAACGGCGTGTAGCTTTGATTCATTCGAGTGTGTAAGGGTTTTTACTAAGTTCATTTATTGACAAGTTGGTGATGAGAAATTAACTAAGATGAACTCGGACGTTTTTCCTTCGTTGTGTATTTTGTTACTGTTATGTGTTACCTGCAATGGTGTACGGGATGAGAAAGGTAAGATGTCTTCTATAGAACTTTCACAGTGACCTCAGACTTTCACGGTTCCTTGCGCACAATGTACTACCTACCGTCGTCTTAAACCGGCTTTTCGTCTCTCCCATGTCGTAGTTAGTGTAGTGACATTGTCTTACCTCGCAAGAATATTTATTCCTCGAAAACTTACTCAAATAATAATAATAATACTTTTAAATATATTTCACTTGCGCAAATATATACCACGTGTAAATATTTGTCATTTATTACTGTTAAACGTATACATCATTTTATCGGTGGGAACCCGATCACATGTTGGCTCGAGACACTACCCTTGTATATTATGGTTATTATCACTTTCTTTATATATATATATATATTTTATTGTAACTTAACGTAAAGTTTAATATTGTTTATATTGTCCGGAAAGAGGATTGTCCGTCTTCATTTAATAAACTTATCCGTTTATCGAGTACACTAGTTGTTATACCAACAATACAGGAAAAACGGATTGTAATTACAAGCCTATATCTAATCTGTTCAATTTCCTGTAATCTACTATAACTTTTGATAGAAGTGAATGTCGGCAGTTAAAAAAGCTACGATATCTCGATTAAAAGTCATTGTTTCCATTATTGATTGAAAGAAAGAATAGAAAAAAGAAAAGGTGATATCATTCAGTTTGTCGAACATCTGGAAAATTTCGGAGTCATTTTTTTTTTATCTTTGGCAAAACTTCGATGTGTGTACCGGTAATTAGTTGTCCCAACAATCTGAATCGTGATCAAATTTGTGCGTGACAAACTGTTTTCGTATTGTTGCTATTCGCATTGTCATCTATAGGGTGACCCTTCATCTTTGATTCTTACAACCGATAAGAGAGCTCTAAGCTTGGCCGATTTCTATTTCTCATGATCACTATTCAGCCATTGTGACACTTTAGA